CAGTCTTGTCATTTTAGTGAATAAACTATTTTTTAATAACTGTATGGAATTTTATAGCTGATACAGTTAATATAGTTTAGAAAAGTGTTTAAATGTCTGAATTTTTAAATGACTTCTGTTTTTTACATAGAAATTTAACTACACCTTCATGTGTATTTGTTAATATGGTTTATGTTGTATATTTTTGTTTAATGTGTTGCATTAATCTTGACAGATGACAATGAGGAGAGATCTATGATAGAACCAAGGTCATACGAAGACCCAAAACTGAAGGAGCTAATCGAAATCCTTATAGAGTGGATCAATGATGTGTTGGCACCAGAACGTATCATTGTGAAACATATTGAAGAAGACCTTTATGATGGAATGGTATTTCATAAGTTGATTGGTAAGAACAGATGTATACAGTATTTTATTGTTTTTGCTTTGATGACCTAAAGACAAAAAACATTTTATAATATTTTTAATACCCCGGTTTATAAAGGCTTGTCACAATTATATTTAAACTATTAATGAGTGCTTTCATTAAGATTTCTTTTTTGTATCATTATGAACAGAACAGCTGACAAATAAAACCCTAAATGTACAGGAAGTCACCCAAAGTGAGGCTGGACAAAAGCAGAAGTTACAGACTGTTATTAATTCTGCTAACCATGTAAGTAACAAGAATTAGGTTTTTTTACAATTATACGTAATGGAATGCTTATTGTTTAGAATGTAATAAAAAATTTAAACTCAAATTATTGTTGTTTTTTACACTCATAACATCTTCAAAAAAAAAAAATAGTCACAGTTTCTCAAGGTAATTTTTTGTTTATTAATGCCTTAATTTTTGTGCCATGAATGGTTGTTGAAATCAAGATTAAGACTGTATAGTACAGTATCTTGAAATTTTTCTTTGTGTTTCTCATCTTTTAGATCCTTGGGCTAAGTCGATATGGACCTCATAAGTGGTCTGTAGAATCCATACACTCAAAAAATGTTGTGGCAATCCTGCATTTGCTAGTGGCATTGGCCCGTCATTTTAGGGCACCTATAAGAATGCCAGAGAAATGTGTTATTGATGTCGTCATAGTGCAGGTGAGATGTAGTCTTGTATCAGAAATTTCTTCATTTACTTATTCCTCCATGGTGTATAAAGTTTTAAATTTATCATGTTTAATAACAAGTTTCCTCTCCAAATTATAGGTTAGTTGTGAATTGTGTAACTATTTTTCTAATGTTTAAATTTGATAAAAGTTGTATACAGTAGTTTACTGTTACTATGTTGACAGATTAGAGTATGTAGGAGAACTTTGGTAGTATTTACATGCACCAATAATTTTTAGGTACGGTACATTGCAGCCTCTCCTCACTTAGTGATGTACTCGTTTACCGAAGATTCAGATTTATGACAGACTCTCTGGCCATTATGCATACATAAATAATGTATATTAGAGCTGATTTCCTCTTATTCTATTTATTACAACATACAGTACACTACTGTATAAACATAAAAATATAATAAAAATGTTGTAAGTACATGTAATGCAAAAGTGACATTAAAACAATATCAAAGGATGGTTAACACAGACCCACTACCATTATAGTATGCTCCTTGCTTAGTGACAAATTCATTTACTGACGAGGTCTTAGGAGGTGAGGCTGTATTACAGATACTGTAGAGTGGTCCCGAGAGTTACGATGGTATTGAGTTACAGAAATTTTGAGTTATTATTTACCCTCATAAAGGAATTTAGAATTGAGTTGTCATGAAAAATTTAAGATATGATGTGCATTTGTGATTTAGATATGCTATCTTTTGTGTTTCCCAGTCATCATGGCCCATAAAGTACACAGTCAATTTCTCTGAAGATCAAGCAAGAAATTGTGAAAAACATGATGGAGTAAGAATTACTGCATTAGATCATGATTATAGCTTTCCACAATCAAACATTTCTACTCTTATCAAGCAAAGAAGAAATTATAAACAATATTAAGGTGGCTGATGAATCTAAGCTAGTGTAAAAAGGCAGAGAAATTGTCATAGAGATAGAAAGACTGTTATTGTGGATAAGAAAGAAGCAGATGAAGAGATACAGTGCCTGTAAGTTATATCTGTGAGCGTTAAGTCCAAGGTACAGTAAAAGTTATACCCTCAGGGCCTTGGAATGTACAATCATAAAACCACATGTATTTTGGGGTTTGAGTTACGATAGTTTTGGATTAATATTGTCCTGGTCACAGACCGGGCCGCGGGGGCATTGACCCCCGAAACTCTCTCCAGGTAATATTGTCTCTCAAGGGACCACTGTATTCTATAATCATTGCCGTTAAAATCTAACAAAAATGTACAATGCAAGAAATCAAATAAACTCTTTGAAATTTCATCCTTTGTTATTTTAAACTATGTGAAGATAATTATAAGCATAGCTGTGTCCTTGCAGCTGTGCTTATAATAACAATTACAGAATATTTTCTGTAATTGTTAATTTTGGGAAAACATTTGCATATACAGTGCTTGTGTATAATGTAGTATATTCAGAATAGATAAGGTCCTATATTGTGGAGAGTATTGAGATGGAAGGGGTAAATGGAAGAATGAGATTGTAACACATATTCTGGAAATAAAAAATCTGAGGTTCAGATGTTAATTGCTTAGTATTTCTTATATTGCTCTATGTTAAATGATCAGAAACGCGATGGACAGCTAAATCACCGTATTGTAAGTGAAGAGCTGACTGGCACCTACGTTGACCTGGGCTTGAGGTGCGAACGAGATGCTTTCGACACATTGTTCGACCATGCACCAGACAAACTGCAAGTTGTCAAGAGAGTAAGTTCGGCTTATTAGGTTACTTATGTTTTGTTAAGGCCTCAATCATTGAGCATAATAGAAAAAACAAATAACATTTTTGACAAAATTTATAGTTTTGTTATAATCTAACTAGTAATCTTGACAGAATTTAATTTTCATCATAAAATTTCAAGTTTAGATGCTAATAACTTTGAGCATATGTTCTGTACTTTTTTTACATGGTGAAGAAATAAAAATGCAGGGCAATTAAACCATAAAATCAACGATATATGACTACTGTGTAGGAAGCAAAATAAGCCCTTATCCCCTTCCATGGGAGGGTGGAAGCAAAATATTACCTAATATGTTCGTTTTTCCTTGTTCTCCAGTGCACTGTTGTCAAATGTTCTTGTTTATTTATTTTTCTCATGTTTTAGTATTTTTCCTCTCATTTTCTGACTTCTATACAGCAATCACTTGAATACCTCTTTTGATGAGGAGGGGGTGTGTTGGATAATAATAGAAATAATAGAACTTTTTTTTTTTATCAATGGGATGCAAAAAAAGTAGTTTTAATAGTAGAAAATATGTTTGGGCTTGCTAACAAAACTTCTTGGAAAAAAAAATTAAATATTGACTTAAAAAATCAGTTCTTTCCTTTATTATAATGAAATCTGTAAAAGTTTGTCTTCAAAAATACTCTTGGTTCTGACTATTTTGAACACAGACCTTATTCTACAGCATATTACAAAAAGTCTCTTATACAGTAATATGTAATTTTCTTGTAATAACTAATTTTATAGTTTTATCTAAAACAGTTTTAATTCCATGTTTCTTCCTCTTCTATAGTCCAGTCTGTCGGGTTTGTTAAGTAGTCTTTCATTTTGTCTAGATCATAATTTATTCCATATAGCATTTCTAGTCATGAATGATGACTTGTTCTGATTGAATCCAAATAGTTTAAATAATTTTCACATGCAGTATTCTGTGGATTAAACTTTTAAAAATACTACATTTATCTTTTCAGTCTCTCTTGACATTCGTAAATAAGCAGTTGAACAAGATAAACTTAGAGGTGGGAGATTTAGAAGCAGAGTTCAGTGATGGAGTTTATTTGTGCCTGTTGATGGGACTTTTAGAAGGTTACTTTGTGCCTCTTCATCATTTCTTCCTCACACCTAAGGTAAATCTTCTCTCGGTTTTTGTATTTAAACTTTTTCACTTTTTATGATGGTCTTGGCAGCAGCCATTATATTAAAGATTGCATTCCACATATTAATGAGTATAAAATGTATCCTTTCCTCATCACTTTTTTTTTTTTTTTTTTTTTTTTTTTTTTTTTTTTTTTTTTTTTTTTTTTTTTTTTTTTTACATGATTAAGGTATAAAAGAATATGCAGGCTATATAACTTTATTTTCATCTTTCATTATTCATCCTAATTGTTGATGGAATTTGTGAAATCTGTCATTATATAGAAAAAAAAAAACTTTTCAGTGAAATTTTGACTACAAACCTGAATGTTATTGTAATGCATGCTTTAATTTTGTTGTGTGTTTATTTGATGTATTGGTAAATTCAACTGTAATTTTTTTTTTTTTTTTGTTATTAAGATTTTGTTTCTATTTTTGCACAGTATTCTGTATGAATTTTAACCTCTGCTTCCAAACTGAATAATCATACACAGCATAAAGTTGCATGATTTGCAGTTACAATAGAACTTTAGTTAGAGCACAGGTAAAGTTCCTGAAAATCGGCATATAATATAATTTAGTGCTGACTAATTTGAAGAACATACGAGAAAATTGAGGTTATGCTACCCAGACCTCCAGAAATGCCAAACACTTTTTTTTTTAAAACATTCAGTACATGATGGGAACAGCTAACCTCTTGACCTTATGTTTAGGCTAAAACAGAAAATTAAGTATTTATAGGTGGATTTCAATTTTTTATGGGTCATTTCTTGTTGTTGCCAGTTGATAGACTGGAAGACATGCCAATGGAATGGAAATGATTTTGGTCATCTTCAGACTAGAAGCAGCCTCAAAGTGGTGGAAATATTAAATTTTTTCCACTTTTCCAGAGTTCTTTCCTCCATCCCTGGTCTGTTTAACAGTTTTTACCAGCTCTGCTTCACTTATTGAGATGGACTGTAAACCACGACCAAGTATTCTTGGTTATATTTTATGAGCCGAGAATTTAGAAAAGCTTCAATTTTGTGTGTGATGTTGGATTCAAAATGGAGATGAAGTGTTATATAGGCTAGGCCTGGGGTTGTGATCAATGAGCAGTAGCTGGAATGCCTAAGGTGCTTGTGTTAGACTGTTTATAAATTCGAATTTGTTGAATTTTATGTAAAATTGGTCAAACTACCATGTTCAGTTTTGTATACTCAGTTAATAGTACAGAAGGCATACTAAGAAAATAACCAGGAATTTGGTTGATTTGAGCAACAAAATAGGCCTTAAAGTGGTTGAAAACATAAATGTGTGAAGTGCTCTCTGACCTCCAACTCTGTACCTGCAATAATTTCATAAGTTGTACATTGAGTTTTTCATTTTTGGTGTCATTTCCTTTAGAAAAAAATTCTGTACCATTTTAGAAGGTAATTTTTTTTAAATTGACACTGATGGGACTTAATTTTGGAGGTTGCAGTAGCCAAAGGGTTAAACTGTATCTAGACGACATTGGTAAAATAAAAGCCACATTTCTGTACCAAACGAAAGAATTTACAATGCCTGATACAAACAAACTTATACTAAAGATAAATGCATTTGATACATTAATATTTAAGATAAATATAGTAATACGTAAAAGTGTTGGTGTGTAAAGCTGTGTCTGGGAAATGCTGAGGAAGCTTCCACCTGTTGCTTTGTGCAACTTTTATTTTGCATGATTTATGCATCAGGGGCAAATAATGTCATTTTTAGTGGAAGAGAAAGTAATACTACATTTTGACTCAAATTCACGCCAAGATCAGGAAGAAAATAAGGGGCTTCAACCCTTTTCACATTATTACTGTTATATTAATATATGATAATATGACAGGCAGCAGCTGGCAAGAGACGTATTCATCTTCCCTCTTTTTATTAGCCATAGAAGTACCACTTTGCCTTGCATAGCTTCAACCATGAAATTAACCTACAGCATCCATATTACTTATCACATAACATTACAGCAATATTTCCCTAAAACAAGAAAAAATCTAGAAACTTGAGGGAGGGTAAAGTAGCATGGTGAGTGATCAACAATCCAAAAAAACATTAAACATTCCATGATAGCAGTGATGCTATGGATTGTAAATTAGTGTCTTGATCAGTAATTACAGGAGGGCCCCGCTTTACGGCGTTCCGCTTTACGGCGTTCCGCTAATACGGACATTTCAAATTATGACCAAAACTCACTATACGGCTCCCCCCACCTGACTTTCTAATACGGTCACCGTGCCCCACCCTGTTTGTTTACATTCTCCATGAGCTCAGTAAGCACTAAGTCTCTCCATTTTGTCTGGAAACTCCAAAATTTCAAATGTTTTTAAAAGTTATTTCATTTTATATATCTCTGATAATTATACTTTATGTATACTGTACCTAAATAAACTTACATACATCGAGTCATTTAAATGTCGTATATTACGTTAATATACACATTTTCATTAATCCATCCATGATATTTTTTTCAAAATTATATAATAAACACGATGCATAACATATAAATAAGATAAATACACCCCACAGTAGAATAAATAAACAAATGTGAGATGTGAGCAGACGACTTGCACAAGTGGTGATAATAACAATACTGAGTCTCATTAAATGTCGTATATTACGGTAATATACACATTTTCATTAATCCATCCATGATATTTTTTTCAAAATTATATAATAAACACGATGCATAACATATAAATAAGATAAATACACCCACAGTAGAATAAATAAACAAATGTGAGATGTCGTAGCAGACGACTTGCACAAGTGGTGATAATAACAATACTGAGTCTCATTAAATGTCGTTATATTAGGTAATATACACATTTTCATTAATCCATCCATGATATTTTTTTCAAAATTATATAATAAACACGATACATAACATAAAAAGATGATAAATACACCCCACAATAGAATAAATAAACATAAATATAAGATGTGGGAGCCACATAACTTGTACAAGTGACGGCAAGAATAACATTTTCTCTAATCTAACATAAGAGTAAATGTGTTACTGGGGGTAACTGTAGAAAATTATTCCTTTCGTATGTATGTAAGTAAGTTTATTCAGGTATACACAAATACAGTTACATAGATTATCATACATAACAACATACGTTGTAGAGAACTAGGATAACCCAAAAAAGTCAGTGTGACTTATTTCCATTGCCTTCACTCAGAGCTTCATTTCTTCTCAAAATGATGTTACATGAGAATGGGAGTGTTCTTCTTTATTAATTCTACCGTATCAATGTAGAGACAACCTGTACACAATGTAACTTGTACACAAAACCAGACGTGTACATTTCGTTTGTTTACAAAACTTACCTTCCCTGGTTTGTTTACATAACTGCGCCTGCCCCCTCTCATGTATCATTCTTTCTCTCTCTCATTTATTCGTTTTATCTCATTTACTTACTCCTGACCCTACATTAAGACTACAAATATTTTAAGGTAAGTAATGAGTGAACTGTATATACATTTTATCGCTCTGGGATGCTTAAATATCATAGAATAGTATGTGTGGGTGGGGTGGCCTGGTGAGGCTATTACAATACATACCACACTTGATTTCTTACAATAAATACTACTTGTCTCACCTAGATTAAGACTATAAATATTTTAAGGTAAGTAATGAGTGCACTATGTGTGTATTGTACCTTTTTATTGTTTTTTGATGCCTGGTTCTATTGCTAACTTAATATATGTTAGTGTAAACTTGTTATCTAGTGTTTGTATGCATTTATAAGTGGAAAAAAAGGGTGTTCCACTTTACGGCGATTTCCGCTTTACGGCGGTAGCCTGGAACCTAACCCGCCGTATAAGTGGGGCCTTCCTGTACTTAGGTATATGTTGCACTGTAATAATGCAATTCCCATGAATTTGGATTTATTTTCACTTTGTATTTTCCAGACTTTTGATGAGAAATTGCACAATGTAACTCAGTCATTTGAGCTGATGATGGATGCTGGACTAGGTAAACCCAAGGCGAGGCCAGAAGGTATGCAATAATTTTAATGTACTCTACAATTTTTACCACTTACACTTTATGTAGCAAAAATGAAGATTTTATCCTTAAGTGCTCAGATTCCCACACCTTGTTTGAGCTGCTGACATTATGGGTAATCCTTTCATCAAATCATTATTATAGTATGTATTAGCACAGACAAGATCATGTTTGGTAAACTCGAGTAACGTGCGTTTTACGTTCATGGAAAGAGGTCCTTTGTTCAAATTACCTAAAGCTAAGAACATGGGTAAAAATGGGGTTAAGTTCCTTAGATCTCAAAAAAAGCATGCTTAAAAGTCAAAAGAAATTCTCGTTGCTGTCACTTGTTAATAATTTGCAAATAGAGGGTTACTGTGACCCTATATAGACATGCAGCAGGCAGTGCCAGCTGCAGCAGCAGCAGCTGCCACTGCTGCCGCCACCGCCGCGCCGCCACTGCTACCTACTACCACCTGCTGTCAACACTTGTAAAAATAAGACATTTGCTAATCAGATTGTGCCACACACGTATGAGCTCATCATGCCTATACCAAACAAAAATATATAAAAGATGAAGGTATTTAAGGAAGTAATAAGCAAGAAAAATACAGTTGTGTAGTAATAAAATTGCATTGGTTTTGAGGGCCATCACAGTTTTTACCATAGTGAGCCCTTCTCCCAGTGGTAGTGGGCCAATAAAGTATCAGCTGTTGTGGCTGTATAAATTCCTAATAAACATTTTTCATGACTGTGCCTTAGTCAAGATAATACCTTCATTACATGACTTGTTTAAACCTTTTTCACATTCAATCACCAACATATTCAACAATAGTGTAAATACAGCTAGATTAGTTACTTGACTGCCAAAGGCAAAGAATATGTAATTATGGTGCAGTTGTGGTTAGTAGCCTTCATGCACTGCCTCCCACTTTCACTACACATCGAAGCATATCTGTTTTTTTCTTTTCAGAAACTTGGTTTCAAGCTTAATTTTCTTCTTGGCACCTCCAGCATCACTGGTATTATTTTTGGGTCTTGTGGTTAATACGTATCCAAATACGAAATAAGGTGATGATAATATTGAAAATCATTCTGTAAACAGATTATCACATGATGCTGGGTCATTGGAGGTTTCATCATTTATGGTGCATGTATCATAGATTTTTCAGTTCAAATCAAATTTTAGTTGCACTTAATCAGTTTTGGTTTTAAATTTTCATTTTCATGAGTTGTGTTTTCCAAGGGTTTACTGTACACACTTACTTTTATTGCAACTTTATGAATGTTAAAAAATAGAGTATCATAGAAAGCTTTGAATATTCAGAGAATTTGCACCCAGGGTTTACAATCATTATATCATATATGAATGTTGATGTATAGAAACATTGTATAAAACAAGTTTAGCTAAATCTATGTAGTAATTCATATTATGCACTGTCTTTGATAATTTTACTTTGCAGATATTGTAAATGCTGATCTCAAGTCAACTCTCAGAGTTTTGTACAACCTCTTCACTCGCTATAAGAACACACACTAAGCATCATACAGTACCCTAACACAAAATATGAAACTGGACAACTGCCTTCTTCAGTATGAAGTACTTACAAAAGGCTTCAAGCAAGGACAAAATTTCTAGTACCTCAATACAAAACAGAAGTGAAAGCAAGTCAGGTACAGGCATTGCATATGATAGTCATGCACAAAAACTCTTTTTAAGTGCCTCAAGAATAGACTGTTAGTGCCTCAGGGTTTTGTGTGTGAACTTTCGAAGACTTCTTTAATACAGTATTCTACATCTGAACTGAACAGTTCTATCAGAGGAAGTCCTTAATGTGCCAAAAATAATCTCGTCATATCAAATCCTCCGGTACGTCACAATTGTATGCAAATTAAGATTAAAGTACCAGTAATAAATATGTTATCCATTTTGTTAGAGACAATTATATATCAAATATACCATCAATTAGTTTTAATTTTATTTATTATTTTTTCTTATAGAATTTGCATTAAATGCTACTTAAGTGTTTGTAAGAGTTATAATGCTGAAGAGAAATAATCAATCAAGGAGGCAATAAATTTTCTTGTGCATATTGTTTAATATTTATACACATTACATTTGTTGTTTATTTCTTTAGTGCAGCGAGTTAATACGTATGTCTTGCAGGCACTTTCATAACATGAGAAACCCATTGCATCATCAATGTGATTTCAATTATTCCATATGATAGCACAGTATTTTATTAGAACTGGAGGAGTTTAATGTTTAAAGGTTAGCATTCATCATTCAAGAAGTCACTCTGATGTACAAAGTGGCAATACATCCTCTTTTATTCAAATAAGAAGTTTTGAATGTTTTAAAATTAAATATATAGTCTCCTTAACATAAAATATATTTTTAAAGATTATGTAGTCTTGTTTCTAATATTGCATATAAGTGCCTCACAGATAACTGCATGCCAATTTTTTTTTTTATCCCTATGTTTGCTTTTATTACATTACATTACCAAATTTATAAAGAGAAACTTTCGTTTTTCTTTTTGGGCCACCCTGCTTCGGTGGGATACGGTCAGTGCATTGAAAGAAGAAGATTTTGGCAATATTTTTCTGTGCCACCTTGAGGTCCAATAATCCCATAAAAATACACATTGATCCTTGGTCACAGTCTTAATATACTACAAGAATTATTTCCACTTAGTCAGTTCTGGACTCTTGTCTTCTTGCCAAATGTCATAGTTAAATTATCATAGGGTGGAATTCTACTAGGCAAGTCTAGATCCTGTTGTTTAAACTAGCTAGCATCCAGACAAGCCCGAACCACCTTTTCTTGTCTTGTGCCTCGCCATTTCCACACGTGCACATGCCTCTTGTATAATAGGACTAGTGATATTTCATCTTTTTAAGTGCCATAAGAGTGCAGTGTTTCACAGCCAGATAGATTTGGTCTAGTCTATACATGGACATTATTTATGTATAGATTAGTCTATGCTAGATAGTGGCTACTGTATTTTTTACCATTAATTCCTAATCACGTCATGTGTATTATCTCATGTTCCATCTTTAAATGAACAGCAAGATGCCCATTGCCTCCAATATTTTGTCTTCTGTCAGGACCTTCACGATCCTTCTACATACAGGATGGTGGTGGACATTAGTAGAGGTCCATTATTTGCTTGCCACCCCTGTTTACTCCATCCCTTTTCCTTGCATATTCACTCTGGTGTTGTCAGGTTTGCAGCAGTGTTCCTGGACAGTGTTGTGCAAGATCATTTATTAGACTCGGCTTGCATTTTTGCAGCAATTCTCATAGCGGATATACGTATTGCATCCAGGTCTACCTCAGCGTGTGGTAGTTTCAGACTCCTCTTGTGCTTTACAGACTATTAAAACACTTAATTCACCTCACCCCATAGTTCTTCATATACAACTTGGTTGCACTGCATTTTTAGCAAAAATCAAAGAAATCATTTTCTGTTGGGTCCCTGGTCATGTGGCTGTTCAGGGCAATGAGCAGGCTTTCTCTGCTGTGCAGTCAACAGTTCATGTCCTCCATGTTTCATATAGGGGTATTTCATTCTCAGACTATTTTGCTGTAATCTCTAACTACCTTCACAACCATTGGCAACAACATTGGTGTAAGTTGATTCATAACAAATTATTTTCTGTCAAGCCATGTTTAGGATTCTGGTCTTATTATTATCAATGTCGTGGTTGGGATACTATGCTTTCCTGTCTTCGCATCAGGCACACGCGTCTCACCCATGGGTATCTCATGGAGAAGGCGCCCAGTATTACTCTTGAGAATTGTCAGGTTCCAATTTTAGTTTGCCATATTCTGTTAGACTGTTCTGTTTATCATTGGGTATGCAGAATGTAACTCTGACATCATCACCACTCTAACACCCTTACTTAATCTTTCCTCCTTGCTGACAGCCCCACCTATGACCCAGACTCCCTCTTTGACTTTTTGACAGCAACAAATTTATTAATAGTACAAACTTTGATTATACTTCCTTTAGCACTCCTCACTGCTCTTACTAACTCTACCTTGTTGTACTCTCCACCCTCGCTAGTCTCTGATCAATCACATTAAACCTTTAGCATGCCCTACCCTGCAGTGCTGTATGACCCTTGTAGGTTTAGTGCTTAGTTATGATTATAGTGATAATGTGCATTATCTCAGTATTTTAATGTATTTCATAAAATGTTAAACCTGTGTTTTTATTCACTGGTAGGAAAGATGGAGGTTCTATTGTCTGTTTTTTAATTATGGTCTGATCTCTGACCATTCCTTCAATAGATCTGAGGAGGAGGAGGAGGAGGGAGATGGGAAAGACTGAATTATTAAAGTGGTACAGTATTTTAGCAAATGAGCAAAGTGTATTCTTATGGGGTCATCAGACCCAGTGTGGCAAAGATAAGCTCTTTCATATGTGTAAGTATGTAATAAGAAAATTGCAGAATTGGGTTCTAGTAATTACAAGCAATAATAGTTGACAAGTGAAGACTGTTAGTGAAGGAGGGCTAATACTTTGCTCTCTGTATTGAAAGCTTTAATGAAAAGTGTGTTCAAAGCAGGGAAACGTAGTTTCTTGTAACCCACTTTTTTAACACTGTTCCTTGTATATCAAATACAATATAAAGCAGAGGTTATATTTTATAATTGTTTTATGTTATTAATATTGACATTTTATGTGCTAATGTAATTTTTATCACAAAGACTGTATTTATTGGTCATGATGCAGTTTTGGCTATTTATATATTTTAAGAAGTGTAAATAAACTATATACAATAAGTGGCCTTTGTGATAAAGCTTTATAACTCTTGAATGTTAGTTCATGTGCCTAAACAAGCTTGTGTAATCTGTAGTTCTGTTTGTAGTTAATAAGTGTACATGCATTTGTTCAAATAATTTAATGGTGTAATTTGAAAGTATTTTTTTTTTTTTTTAAGCTTTAAATGGCTTTTATGAAGTTCAAGAATTTAATAACTTTTTACATTAATACAGATTTGCTGAATCAAATCGAGAAATATTAATTCTTATAGAAGCACCTCATATAAAAACTGAAATGCAAATGTTAATATTTTTGGAAAAAATTATATTTATTATTTTCAAGAAAGATTAGTTGAACATCTTTGTGTAAATCTTATTCACTTCAGGATGCTATAAAATATAGTTTTTTTATATAATTGTGTATAGCCAGCTAAATGGTTGTAAAAAAAAAGGAGTCTTTCCAAGCCATCATTTGTTTGAATCTTTATTGTTCCATTACATTATTAGCTTATGGAACAAACTGCATTATAAAAATTACTTTTTTTGAAAAAATATTCACCTCTGGTGCATGGAATAGAAGGTAGTGAAAATTGAGGAAACTAATAATATTGTACTGTATCAGCTCTTTATGCAAATTAAACTGTAAATATAGTCTACAAATTTAAGAGGGGTTGCATTCCTAGAGGTCCCATGAAACTTAAGACTACGAATAATGCAAAATTGTCTGCATAACAAATTTTGTTCAGATTTTTTTCAGAGACTTATTTCTCAATAGATCACACTATTTAGCACTGAGCTAAGTTCAGTGTTATATGGCTAGTTTTCATTTTAGGGTTTTCACACCAACCCTGAAAAAAATTGGCACTGCCAAAGAGCCTGTGAAAAATCAAAGCTATTCGTGAATTGCGTGTCAATAACGTGCATAATTGAAACCTGCCACATTTGTAGAAAATTGTATAGCAATTGGTACAGCTATAATAAAGGAATGGACTTGCTAAATACATCAGATATTACTGTACTGTTTAAGTTTTGATCAATCATCAACTAACAACTTGGATTTGTAATACACATGCTTGCTTATCGGATACCAATTATACATTTACAGATTGAATGTGTAAGGCTCGTATGCTTACACAAGGTTCTGTATAAAGTAATTCCTGCAAACTGTTAACTTGAATCTCGTGTCTGTCCGGTGGGCTTTACAGTACATGACAAGTTTTCTATGCATTACCAGTGGTCGATTTGAAAAAAAAAAAAAATTCATACCACATTTAGATAAATATTGAGCTGAAATTTTTCTTAGCTTATTTTACTATAAATGAAACAAATAATGTGCCACTTGTTAAATTACCTTCACTGGTTTATGGATTCAAGATCATTACTACTATAAACTTAGTCCACTGAAGTAGAGAGAGAGAATGAAACTATTATGACAGTTATTAAGGAAACTTCTCACCCTTGAGTGGCTTTCTCTGTCCAATACAGAGTTTACTGAGAACAGGATTAAAATAGTGGAGGTAGGTCAGGTCAGGTTAGGTTATGGCAAGACAGTACCTTGAGATAGTTTTATCTTTGCAAGTACACCAGCACTGCTGATCCCCTGAATGTTATGTAAATTGGATATTGCTATGATGACTTCTAAACAATACCACATCTAGGTTATTCTCTATTATTGACAAATTATCTTCATCCCACTTAATGGGATGGCCCATGAAGTATCACATGCATTGCTCTAATTGTTACGGCTACATAGTTGCTTATGTTCCTTAATTTATTTGAGAGTTCTTGATTTCTCACTGTGTGTATACTTCATTTCACCCTTTCCCTTCCACAAGGATTGTCTTGACTGTTCTGGGTTTCCTCTGTTTTGAGCAATTCCTTAATGGCAGCTTGTTGCTGCATTGAGGTTGTTATTGGCTAGTTGCTTTGGAGATGTTGCTGGCAAAATTGCTGACCAGGAGAACATCACATCTAGTGGCTGCTTTCTCCTATTTAGTATGTCAGTGATGTGGAGGGTTCGCTTTTTATAGTCTAAAGTGAGGTATGATGGGAAATGTAGGCAGCTGAATATTTGTGTAATGTAGACATACTGAGTAACTGGGCTGACAATATTGTGCTCTCAAAAGAGGCCACCAGATCTGTTATCCTTTTGCTAAACAACATAGCCAGCAACATCTCTAGAGCACTAGCTAATAACCTCAATGTAGCAATAAGCTCCATCACCATCGTTAAGGACTTTATCAAAATGAGGCTAACCAGAACAGCTGAGACTGGAGTTGACGTATGCAGAATCCCTTGGAGAATGTGTGATAAGGTACACTTAAGTGAGACATCTAAGAATCTGAAAGTGAATTTAGGATGATTGTGTGTGTAGCTGTGGCAGCAATGCATGTGTGACACCATAGCATACACAGGAGGCATCTTGTGAAACAGGATGAAACTAGTCTTTTAATAAAAGAGGACACCTTGCTGTGGCAGCCGTGATAGTAGTACAGTATTAACACAAGTCGTACAAAACTCAGAGATTGAGCATCTCTGGTGTATTCACAAAGATGAGATTTATCTCAGGACATTGCAATCAGGTATCTTCACCTCTCCCTATGCACCACAGACTGCCATCATGCATCATGTAATATGACCTCCCTTCACTACTTTAATGCTGTTTTCAATAAACTCTGTAAAGGACTGACAAATCTCCTAGTGGGTAAAATGTTTCTTTAATGAATGTTCTAAGTATTGCATGTGTGTCTGCACTCCAGTCTGTCAGTACTGGTATACCCAGTACTTTAATTACCATTAGTCCAGCCATATAGGTAAGTAACTGTGTTAGTATTTATTGGTACTGTATAAAAAGAAAATTGTGCAGGCTGTCTGAAGGTTAAATGTAATGTGCTTAATTTTAAAGGTGTTTATAGTATACTCAAATGACTTAATAAGTCTCACAAGTGAAAGACTGAGAAACGAACAAATAACGTTGTACACGACAGAACGAGCGAGTGGACAGAGTCCAAGAATTAATTTTGAATGAAACTATTTTAACCCCTAAACTGGGTATATATAGAATTACCTTTGCATCCATGTGTGAGCTTCTTTTGTTTTTTATGTTTTTTCTTATAGTGCATGCAAAATTGATAAAATAATTGTATAAAAATAATGAGAAGATGCTGTTGTACGATGTGTTGAAATGCACCTTATCAGCTGTTTTATGTATTTTGGTTTAGCAGTTACCTTGATTATAGCAAATAACAAAAAAAAGGCACAATACCGTGACTGGAATGATGCACAAATAACCTGCATATAGAAGAGAGGAGCTTACGGCGACGTTTTGGTCCAACTTGGACCATTTACAGTCATATTGACTTTGTAAATGGTCCAAGTCGGACCGAAATGTCGTCATAAGCTCCTCTCTTCTATGTGCAGGTTATCTGTGTAATGTTACCTTGATTATAATAATATACACTTGCAATGAATAGGTTTAGCACTTGTTTTTGGATATGGTAAATGTAAAAAATAATAATAATATACACAGCATATTCATTGTTTTTCCACAGGCACTATAATTTAGCATCTCCACACACTGTATATGTTTGTTATAATTTTGTGTTTGATCTGTGAAACGGTTAAAATTAAAACATAATTATGGTACCTGCCAGTCGTTTAACATGAATCTGATAAGTTTACAGACATTACATTTACATTTACTTTCTTATTAAAACATATTTTGTATATAAACAATATATTAGTCAGTGCTCTCTAGAATACTTATTGATATGCAAAGAATGCACTGGTAGTCTTGCAGCATAAATCTGATTGACATTCATTTATTTCAATTTTTTTTTTTTCTAGCCTGGCTATTTCATACCAAGATTTAGCACTTAGTTATGGCTGTAATAATTCCCACCAAGGCAGGGTGAGCCAAAGAACAAAAGATAATCACCATCATTTGTTCAATACCTGTCTTGCCATTATTACTGTTTTTACATGCCAGTCGTCTTCCATTTAGGTAGTGACCCAAAAAAAAAAAAAAAAACTCGGTATCACTCACTCTATCACTGACTTGCCAGTGGCCATTACAATTTAAATGACACTCTAATCTGCAACATCCTAAACAATTCTTCTGAGTGTAAGCATTGTATTACCCACATTTTGAGCTCAAACCTGACAAAAAAAATAATACAGTAAATCTTTGATATAATTGACTTGTAAAATTATGGGCAAAATCCACTAGTTAAATTGTACTTTTAACTTGTTTATTTTTAATGTTTATTGCAGCATATCTGCAAGTTGTGTGTACAGTTCTATATTAATAGTTTTTTTTTTTATTCTCGATTTAATGGACACTCGGACAATCCACCCCATTAGTCTCTTATATCGAGGGTTTACTGTACTTGTACTGTATATACAGTATGTGGTTTCATAAAGTATTACTTGACATAAGTTGTTTAATGCGGTACCTAATTTCCGTATTTCACGGCTTATAAGGCTTGTTTTAGTTTGTGGCTTCGCATCAGACGTAACTGGGAGAGCTACAGCCCACCCCACACCCCATACTTATAGCTCTTGTCACTGACTTTCAGTTTTATTATATATATATATATATATATATATATATATATATATATATATATATATATATATATATATATATATATATATATATATATATATATATATATATATATATATATATATATATATATATATATATTATTGTGACCATGAATGAGTGGTATTGATCAACAACAGCACTGCACTAGCCAAGGACTCGAACCCATGCTGCTTTGGCCTGCCTTATGGTGGGCGAAAACCCATGACGCCCTAATCCACTGGACCATATGATCCTTACAAGTAGGGCATCCAGCGGAACTGGATGTTGTACTCCCTACCCAAGGGGACACAATGGTGTGGATGACTCTAGGCTAATTCCATTCTAGTCCCTGTTTGGTGTACTAGTTCAACGAGCAGTATTTTATATTATTGTGACCATGAACGAGTGGTACTCGTTCATGGTCACAATAATATAAAATACTGCTTGTTGAACTAGTACACCAAACAGGGACTAGAATGAAATTAGCCTAGTCATCCACGCCATCATATGTCCTTGGGTAGGGAGTACAACATCCAGTTCCGCTGGATGCCCTACTTGTAAGGATCGTATGGTCCAGTGGATTAGGGCGTCATGTATTTTCGCCCATGAGGCAGGCCAAAGCAGCATGGGTTCAAGTCCTTGGCTAGTGCGGTGTTGTTATTGATCAATACAACTCGTTCGTGGTCACGATAATATAAAATACTGCTCGTTGAACTAGTACACCAAACAGGGACTAGAATGAAATTAGCCTAGAGTCATCCACACCATCGTGTGTCCTTGGGTAGGGAGTACAACATCCAGTTCTGCTGGATGCCCTACTTGTAAGGATCGTATGGTCCAGTGGATTAGGGCGTTGTGCGTTTTTGCCCACCGTGAGGCAGGCCAAAGCAGCATGGGTTCGAGTCCTTGGCTAGTGCAGTGTTGTTATTGATATATACATATATATATAGTTTATGTACTCGCCCCGTTTAAGGGTTAAATAATGTCACAAAATGTGCAAAAATGTATATTTATGAAGTTGCTGGTAAATATAGATGAGACTCCAAAACTTAGCACAAGAAGTGCATTTGAACTATGGTAACATCTTATGACTGCCAAAGATTTCAAATGTTATGGTATTTCTGTTAAAACTAGCTTTGACAATCATAATTCTAATCTAATCTCAAAATACCAAATAACTCAATTTCTTACTGTGTGGTAATGCATTTCATAAGGTGCCTTTCTTGCCTTCTAATAATAATAAAAATTATTAGTATATAGTAGTTATTATCCTTTTGTAAGCTATTTTATACATGATTGATACCTTCAAGTGATCCCTTGTAGTTAAAGACCCTTGTGGGTTTTGATTGTAATATGATAAAAACATATACTATATAGGGTAGGTCCAATATTATTATATTTATAAATTTCTCAACATAAAGAATATCTGTCTGCATAACTAGACACACACACTACAAAAAAAAAAAAGTAAATCTAATTTGCACAAAAGTTCAAATTTATGCAGTCTACAGAGTATTATGGTTTCATTCACAATGCACTTATTTCTTTGACATATGTTTTTTCAAGAATTCTATTACATCTGGTGACTGAAGTATTTGCTGAAAAAAAAAAAAAGGAAATTGGAAACTTTGTCTTGAATTACCCATAATAATTATTTAAATTATGTGCCATAATCAGTCTGCAATACAATGTTTTCATGTATTATACAAATAACTCATTGTGGTATTTAAACAGATTTATATTTGCCAATTCCTCCATTGTGTTCCTCTTTAAAATATATTCTTGACACCAACCGATTTACTACACAAACTTTCTAACTCTTGTTATCCTCTCCACCCTCGGCTCCTCTCTAGCAACACCCCCTGTCCTGCAGCGCTGTATAACTCTAGTGGGTTTAGCACTTGATTTTGATTATAATAATAATTTACCAATTAAGTTTTCTTTGTACATACTTATATAATCTTTTTTATTACAGACTAATATTTAAAACTAGAATATCATGTGAATAGCTATAGTGAAATAATAGAAGAGAGAGAATAAACAGGAAAAGTAGAAAAAATTGTAAATATGAGAATTTAGCAAAAGTTCAGCAGATCAACTGCAAGCCAAAAAACAAAAGTATCAGTACTGAAGATAGTATCTTAAACTGATAAGGGTAGACAAAAGTATGAAGCATTTTGAAAAGGTTAAAAATAAAGTTGATGTGCAGTTATAAATAGGACAATATCCAAAATATATTGCTCAGTCAGCGCAACTCTGCAATTCTCACAAGTCACGATGCCCTGCCGTTAGAAGATCATTAACGAGTCTGCTGTGACCTACACAAGTTTACAAGGTTTCTATAGTTTTTAATAATGAAGTAACAGTCCTTGTGGCTTAGCGCTTTTTTTTTATTATAATAATTATAATAATGAAGTAAGGATGGCCAGAAGCCAAGTTGTTGCCTGATGAATATCATCTTAATGGTCACTAACACAAAGCAATGTTGCTGACAATACGATAATTACTATCATTTTAACATGGCTGAAGCCATGATTAAAATGCATCAAGATGCATATGAGGGTCTTTTGATCCAAGAAGTTGGAGCTATTCATTCTGGATCAAATTTTATTACCTCCCATTCTGCTGGTGCTGTATTAGTACAGTGGACCCCCGCTTTACGATCAGCTCCCAATGCAACCAATTATGTAAGTATATTTATGTCAGTGCGTTTGTACGTGTATGTGTGGGGGTCTGAAATGAACTAATCTAATTCACAATATACCTTATGGGAACAAATTCGTTCAGTACTGGCACCTGAACATACATCTGGCATTTAGTGCTTCCCCATACATTAACACTAACAAGATTTTGGTAGGAAGACTAACACTATTGTCATGAGTTTTATGTAGTACCGTACAAACACTCACCATTTTTTTTTCTGTGAGGATCTGATCAAGTAGGGAATTGTTAAGAAGGTACTGTCCACCCACTAGTGTTCCTCCAGGTGGTGGTAATGATGCTGGGAATAGCAAATCCTCCACACCTGCTATGATAAAGACATTAGTCTAACATCCACATACAAAGCATTCTATATTGTAATTGTACAAATGAACCAACTTTCATAAGATACAGTAGTTTTACAAGAGTGACATTTGATTACTATTATTATTATTATTATCATGGGGAGTGCTAAACCTGTAGGGATTATACAGTACCTGGGGGGGGGGGGTGATGGAAAGCATTCAGGCTCAATTCAGAGAATTGGAGCACAGATTCAATTCCCTAGATCAAGAGCCCCTCACCAGCATCAAGAAACCTCCCTTGAGGGGTTGATATTTGATAATATCTGTGGAAAGCCCTTGGTTATGTATGAAACCAATTCTGTTTGCAGGTCATTTCAAATGCTGATCTGGCTGCACTCAACACAATAAATGCCAATCTTTAAAAAAAATTACTTGGATCACAACTAAGAATAATAAAAGCCCCTTTATATGCAAAGCATTTTGGACAAACTTAAAACTAACTTAAGATTAATACGGCAATAACAGTACATATGGTCATTAGGCGAGTTACAATGAATACAAGAGAACTGAATATTCTATTAGGTTGTGCTAATAGGTTTAATAAGTTTTGTAGAGAAGAATTACACTTCTGATTATTAACCTTAGGTAAACACAATGGAGTGATACTGAGCAAATTCACATATAGTTTTTACATATGTATTTTAAGATGTATTTAACATAATCAACATTTCCAGGAAACCTCTCGAAACAGTGGCCTTACATGTCACGGTTGTCATCTATTGCTGAGAGGAGTTTCTGCACTACCCTGTATATGGCACTTAAAATTTTGTCTTCATCACTCCTTGATCCAATAGTTGCATCAAAGATGTTGTATTTGATGACAGAAATACTATTTTCACATCTGGGTCCACATCCTGCAAGAACTGAGGATGACTATGGGAAATATCAAGAGTGAGGAAAACTTTGAATGAAAGTTTTTTTCTGTGCAGATACATCTTTCCAGAATGAATAAAATCATTCTTGAACTAGTCAATAAACTACCTCATTCATCCATGCTGTATGGTTAGACTATCAAATAACAAGCAAAATGCTTTGGACTTTACCTTTTAAAGCAAGGGAATTCTAGGAGCAACAAAGAAGCATAGGCTTGTACTTACAATCACCTGATGCATTAGTACACAGAAGCAGGCTAAAAATGATCCATCTCTTCTTTAAATCCAGGTCTGATCTTCTCTTGCTTGCTAATGTAAGTTTTAGATAACACCTTCTTCTAATTTAATCCTGTCTTCCCAGCATTAATCATCTGCTTAAGTTTATAACCACCCACGGATATAACTTTCTGAAGCTTAGCAGGGAAATTTCTTGCAGCTGCATGGTCAGTAGATGACCTTTCCCCACTGAACTTTTTGCAGTGTAGTACACTGCACATTTTAAAATAAACCATCCCAAAGTAAACACACTTCTGAAGGTTGTCTCTCCTGTTCACAATTTCTTATAGTTCAACAGGGCATTTTCCTTAATCATTATGTTAATATGCTGGAATCCTCATTACATATAATCAAACTTGTAATTCTTTAAAAATTAAACTTGATAAAAGCCACATAGCATGTACTAATAGGATATTTAATTCTCTTGCATTCATTGTAACTCCTAAATTTATATTTATAAGCACCTAAGAGACTGTATATAAAACCACTCAATTTGTCATTGCCTTATTAATCTTAAGTTAGTCCTAAATTTGCCCAAAATACTCTGCATATTAAGGGGTTTTCTGCATGCACACCTAAAGGTCATTCATCTCTGTACAAACATTGTATCATGCTGAAATAAAGTGATCTTATAAGATAACTGAATGAGGTTTCTATCTTTTTTTTTTTTTTTCAACAAGTCGGCCGTCTCCCATCGAGGCAGGGTGACCCAAAAAAGAAAGAAAATCCCCAAAAAGAAAATACTTTCATCATCATTCAACACTTTCACCACACTCACACATTATCACTGTTTTTGCAGAAGTGCTTAGGATACAACAGTTTAGAAGCATATACATAAAAAGATACACAACATATCCCTCCAAACTGCCAATATCCCAAACCCCTCCTTTAAAGTGCAGGCATTGTACTTCCCATTTCCAGGACTCAAGTCCGACTATATGAAAATAACCGGTTTCCCTGAATCCCTTCACTAAATATTACCCTGCTCACATTCCAACAGATCATCAGGTCCCAAGTACCATTCGTCTCCATTCACTCCTATCGAACACGCTCACGCACACTTGCTGGAAGTCCAAGCCCCTCGCCCACAAAACCTCCTTTACCCCCTCTCTCCAACCCTTTCGAGGACGACCCCTACCCCTCCTTCCTTCCCCTATAGATTTATATGCTTTCCATGTCATTCTACTTTGATCCATTCTCTCTAAATGACCAAACCACCTCAACAACCCCTCTTCTGCCCTCTGACTAATACTTTTATTAACTCCACACCTTTTCCTAATTTCCACACTCCGAATTTTCTGCATAATATTTACACCACACACTGCCCTTAAACAGGACATCTCCACTGCCTCCAACCGTCTCCTCGCTGCTGCATTTACCACCCAAGCTACACACCCATATAAGAGTGTTGGTACTACTATACTTTCATACATTCCCTTCTTTGCCTCCATAGACAACGTTTTTTGACTCCACATATACCTCAACGCACCACTCACCTTTTTTCCCTCATCAATTCTATGATCAACCTCATCCTTCATAAATCCATCCGCCGACATGTCAACTCCCAAGTATCTGAAAACATTCACTTCTTCCATACTCCTCCTCCCCAATTTGATATCCAATTTTTCTTTATCTAAATCATTTGATACCTCATCACCTTACTCTTTTCTATGTTCACTTTCAACTTTCTACCTTTACACACATTCCCAAACTCATCCACTAACCTTTGAAATTTTTCTTTAGAATCTCCCATAAGCACAGTATCATCAGCAAAAAGTAACTGTGTCAATTCCATTTTGAATTTGATTCCCCAAAATTTAATCCCACCCCTCTCCTGAACACCCTAGCATTTACTTCCTTTACAACCCCATCTATAAATATATTAAACAACCATGGTGACATTACACATCCCTGTCTAAGACCTACTTTTACCGGGAAGTAGTCTCCCTCTCTTCTACACACCCTAACCTGAGCCTCACTATCCTCATAAAAACTCTTTACAGCATTTAATAACTTACCACCTATTCCATATACTTGCAACATCTGCCACATTGCTCCTCTATCCACTCTATCATATGCCTTTTCTAAATCCATAAATGCAATAAAAACTTCCCTACCTTTATCTAAATACTGTTCACATATATGCTTCAATGTAAACACTTGATCAACACATCCCATACCCACTCTGAAACCTCCTTGCTCATCCGCAATCCTACATTCTGTCTTACCTCTAATTCTTTCAATTATAACCCTACCGTACACTTTTCCTGGTATGCTCAGTAAACTTATTCCTCTATAATTTTACAATCTCTTTTGTCCCCTTTCCCTTTATATAAAGGGACTACACATGCTCTCCGCCAATCCCTAGGTACCTTCCCCTCTTTCATACATTTATTAAACAAAAGTACCAACCACTCCAACACTATATCCCCCCCTGCTTTTAACATTTCTGTCACGATCCCATCAGTTCCAGCTGCTTTACCCCCTTTCATTCTACGTAATGCCTCACGTACCTCCCCCACACTTACATTCTGCACTTCTTCACTCTTAAAAGATGGTATACCTCCCTGACCAGTGCATGAAATTACCGCTTCTCTTTCTTCCTTAACATTTAAAAGTTCCTCAAAATATTCTCGCCATCTACCTAATACCTCCATCTCCCCATCTACTAACTCCCCTACTCTGTTTTTAACTGACAAATCCATACTTTCCCTAGGCTTTCTTAACTTGTTTAACTCACTCCAAAATTTTTTCTTATTTTCATTAAAATTTCTTGACAGTGCCTCTCCCACTCTATCATCTGCTCTCCTTTTGCACTCTCTCACCACTCTCTTCACCTTTCTTTTACTCTCCATATACTCTGCTCTTCTTATAACACTTCTGCTTTGTAAAAACCTCTCTTAAGCTACCTTTTTCTCTTTTATCAACCCTTTACTTCATCATTCCACCAATCACTCCTCTTTCCTCCTGCACCCACCCTCCTATAACCACAAACGTCTGCCCCACATTCTAATATTGCATTTTTAAAACTATTCCAACCCTCTTCAACCCCCCCACTACTCATCTTTGCACTAGCCCACCTTTCTGCCAATAGTCGCTTATATCTCACCCGAACTTCCTCCTCCCTTAGTTTATACACTTTCACCTCCCTCTTACTTGTTGTTGCCACCTTCCTCTTTTCCCATCTACCTCTTACTCTAACTGTAGCTACAACTAAATAATGATCCGATATATCAGTTGCCCCTCTATAAACATGTACATCCTGGAGCCTACCCATCAACCTTTTATCCACCAATACATAATCTAAGAAACTACTTTCATTACGTGCTACATCATACCTTGTATATTTATTTATCCTCTTTTTCATAAAATATGTATTACTTATTACCAAATCTCTTTCTACACATAGCTCAATTAAAGGCTCCCCATTTACATTTACCCCTGGCACCCCAAATTTACCTACTACTCCCTCCATAACATTTTTACCCACTTTAGCATTGAAATCCCCAACCACCATTACTCTCACACTTGATTCAAAACTCCCCACGCATTCACTCAACATTTCCCATTTCTATCTGTTTTTTTTTTCAATCCATACACTTAGTAACATTTTTATCTTATTTAGCTATAACAATTAATTCCTCATTCTTTACATTGTGTAAAATCAGGGATTACACACTGCACAAGCTTTTATCTTCACCACATTGTATCAAATTATATAAATTGTTGATTCCCTAACACCAAACACACACAGTTCCTCCATGACCCATGAATTACAGCATATAAATCACTTTCAATTTTTCAAAATAGGCATAGTTTCCTGCTTAATTTTCTTCTTGGTACCTTCAGCATTACTAGTATTCCTCTAGACATGATGATGAAAAGACAAAACATAGACTGATAAAACATGAGATAGATTATGGAATGAGACACATCCAAAAGACAACTGACAACTCAGGAGTCATGCTTGGCCTCCCCCTAAAATACTGACCTTGCCCTAGGCACTGAGGGGCATGGAGGGGAAAATTCCCAGCAGCCCATCAAGTAGGTTTTTCAGGCTTGACTTTTGATCTTGGATGCAACAGCAAGTTGTTGAAAATGTGAGTTATAGTTGAATAAGTTAAGAGTTTACTGTACCTTAAATTTAACATTTTAAATATTCTCCATTCAGGACAGGCAAATACATTAAAAAAAATAGCAACAAAAAATATAAATACACCAGTGTACAAACCTTGATTTTCTGACAGCAGTGGAATGGCAGCATCAACAAGATCTTCCTCAGGCATTATGTTGGGCTTCACAGAAGTACTAGGGTCTTCACCACTTTTTTGTTTCTTTTTCTTCTTACGTCCTCCACCTCCCCCAACTCCAGTTCCTTCACAAAATTCTTCTTGTAAGTTGGTCCCTTGTCCTGTTGCTAGGCCTATGTTGCTGTCTAACTAAAAATTGTGAAGCATTAATTTTCTTGAAATGTATGAACTAATCCCTTATAATCAAATGTATATGGGTAACATATGTATGTAAACTACATCATCTTCTTTCAACAAACCGGCCATATCCCACCGAGGCAGGGTGGCCCAAAAAGAAAAACAAAAGTTTCTCTTTTTTAAATTTAGTAATTTATACAGGAGAAGGGGTTACTAGCCCCTTGCTCCCGGCATTTTAGTCGCCTCTTACAACACGCATGGCTTACGGAGGAAGAATTCTGTTCCACTTCCCCATGGAGATAAGAGGAAATAAACAAGAACAAGAACTAGAAAGAAAATAGCGGAAAACCCAGAGGGGTGTGTGTATATATATGCTTGTACATGCATGTGTAGTGTGACCTATGTGTAAGAAGGGTTACCACTAGTAAGTTTCATTGCTCCCATTGTAGTTTATTTCACAGTCCCACAAGCACTAAACACAATGTAATAATCATAAAATGTTTGAATGAGAGTGCAGGTTAGTGTTCACTCAAGCATCAACAAAACCAGACTGGTTCATGGCGCCTACATGGGGACGCAGACAGAGTGGGCTGCCAGACAGGTCCAGTACCCGGCGGTTCGAAAATAGGGGCAAGTTCGATAATAGGGACAAAGTTGGTTCAGAAAAAGGGTTCTATTTTTGAAGAGTTCGATAAGCCATACGTTTGAAATTTGAGGTTCCACTGTAATTTACATGTAATAAAACATTGGCAGGTGCAAAAGAAAGTCACTAGCATACAATGCATTTCAAGCTTTATGTGAAAAGAACATATGGGTTACAATATGAAAGTGTGTGGAGAGCTGATGTTGCCCTACTAGGCTGAGACAGATGGGTGTGGCTCTTGTGATGATGTGGATGCAAAAATGTTAAGTAGTCAATGGTTGTATTGCAGTAGTCAAGTATTCTGTAATGCATTTCTGGTCTGTTTTACCCTGCAGTACTGACCTCACTGACGTTAATTTTTTCCCAGGTCACAATCGTATTATTCATTCCACAAGCTCTATTTTCTTCTCATTACTTCTAATTGTACAGATGGTGGATTCTCTCAGACCAAAAGTGCCAGCAGTCTATATTATATGTGCCCAAAATTAAAATATTCTTCAATGTTATCAGAGATTTGTTTTCATTCTTCTTGGCACCTATAGCATCACTAGTATTCCTTTTGGGTGCCATAGTTAATATCCAGAGAAGATAGAGTAATAAAAGGATTCAAAATCATCTGATAAACTCACTGAGTACTACAGTGCTCTTCATCAACTCCAAGGCTGAGAGACTGATTACCTTATTGTTTGTACATAGTTCTACTGTCTTCCAATTATGTCCTTGACTGTGTATTGATAAAGCCACTGGTTGGTGAAATGTCTACAATAAAAATACCCAGATGTTGCACATGTTTTTAGTTTTTATCTTGTTGTTATCGTATAACATTTATGTACACATTATTACATACCTGGCTAGATGAATGACTCTGTTGGGTAATAAACTGGGAAGTAGATGTCATAGACTGAACAGGGCCTGACACACCACCTGATACTGGCCCAAAATGTTGTGCACTGCTGCTGTAATTATAGTTGTGCAGTTCTCCTGCTAGCTTAGAAGAATAGCCATCCATGTTTTGGAACACACTTCCACTGTTTCTCATTCAATATCAATCCAAATGTAATGTGATTATCTGCAAAATCACAAATGATTATTGTACTCCATTGTTCAACAGCTATCTCTATAATTACTGTAAACCTTCAATTCAACAAACTTCAATTTAACAGACTTTGGAAATGCAGGACTAAATAGAGTTGAAAGGCTGATTCAAAAACAATGGACAAAGTCTGTTGTCTACAGAATTGTCTATTATTGTTACAACCACAAAAAATATACTGCTTTTCTACCCACCACAATTATCATTACTGGTCACCCACTTCTCTCCATTAGTCCATTAAATTAAGACTGTGTTTTATATTCATTTGGAAGTGCTAAACCTGTAAATGTTATGAAGTGCTTAGGAAATATGAGGTAATCAGGTTTGATTAGAGAAAGGATAATGTAGCTCCATATCCTTGGAGCAAGGGCACTTCACAAGCATTAGGACACCTCCCCTCACAGGAAAGTGGTTAGAACTGCTTCCAGAGAACATTTATAGGAATGCACCATAATAGGTCAAGGTCTGAATGCACCATAATAGGTCATGCTCATTTCCCCAGAAAGATCAGTTATCCATGATCAAATAATTATTAATTATATACACCATTTTCTTACTTTAATTATATGAAAGACTGAAAAGAATTGGTGTCAGATCCAAACAAAAGAGAAAATTGCAGGCATAGGGGGGCATAGGACCTATGAAGCTTAAGTTACCATACTTTGTTGTGGGGCTCGGAGTCTAACACAGATGCCGAGACATTATCTACACAATCTCACAAACAGATGAAACATTAAGAAATTGACTCAGTCACCAGCTAGGATTTTTTACCAAGGTTGTGTTTATTCTTTTCTGCCATGCATCATCTTGTACATTCCTCTATTCATGGGAAAGTACATAACTGATATGGAGTCATACAATGCCTGGAATGGGAGGCAATGTGGTTCAATCTAAAATTAAAATATGGTGGACCCTCGGTTATTGGCTGCAACCCGTTCCAGAAGATTGGCCTAAAACCGAAATGGTCTAAAACACAAATAATATTTCTCATAAGAATTAATGTAAATACAATTAATCCGTTTCAGCCACCCAAAAATATTAACAAAAAAATACATTTTTTAAAGATTAATTTTAGTTTTACATACACAAAACAATAAGAACTAAATAAAATAAATAAATGAACATTTAAATCACTATTACATACCTTTACTGAAGACTTGTTGGCTTATGGGAGACAGGGAGGAGGAGAAAAGGAGGACTGATTATCATTTGGAAGGGGAATCCCCCTCCATAAGGACTTCGGGTATTACAGCCCTCTCTGGGGTTACTTCCCTCCCTGCCTGCTACACTCCCTGCATTCTTGCTACACTCCCTGCATGCCTGCTACACTCCCTCCATGCTACACTCCCTGCCTGCCTGCTACATGCAGTGGTTCCCTCCCACATTCCCTGTTTTCCTGCTACACTCCCTGCCTCCCTTCCACAATCCCTGTTTCCCTGCTACACTCCCTCCCTCCATGCCACACTCCTTGCATGCCTGCTACACCCCTTGCTACACTCCCTCCTTCCATGCTACACTCCCTGCCTGCCTGCTACACTCCCTGCCTGCTTGCTACACTCCCTGCCTCTCTTCCACACTCTGTGCCTCCCTTCCACACTCCCTGCTAAACTCCTTCCCTCCATGCTACACTTCCTGCCTCCCTGCCAAACTCCCTTCCTCCATGCTACACTCCCTGCCTGCCTGCTACACTCCCTGCCTGCCTGCTACACTCCCTGCCTGCCTGCTACACTCCCTTCCTGCCTGCTACACTCCCTGCCTGCCTGCTACATTCCCTGCCTCCCTTCCACATTCCCTACCTCCCTTCCACAGCATATGTGTAAAGAACCTAGGATAACCCAAAAAAGTCAGAGTGACTTATTCCCTGCTACACTCCCTGCTAAACTCCCTTTCACAACATTAGCCTCCCTGATGTTTGGATGAATGAGCAGAAGTGTCCTCACTCGCCCAGACACACAGCCAGACTGACTCATGAACGCTCGAGCGGTTGACGGGCAGGCGGGTGGATGCATACAATATGCCCGATAAGTGAAATAATGGCCAATAACCAGAAGCCGAAAAAGTGGCTGATAACCGAGTTGGCCAATAAGCGGAACGGCTGACAACCAAGGGTCCACTGTATTACATTGTTATGTTTAATGAAAAATCTCTTATAAAATATTTTTAGTAGAAAGAATAAAAAGGTGCAATATCATGCCTTCCCTATACTGTATTTCCAGTTTCTTAAATCTTGACAACACCCTCCACTCTTTAGACATCAAGCTTATTCTTCGTCAAACAAATACCCTTCATAGTAATTTAATTCATACCTATCCTCCTGTCACTGATGCTTCCAGAGTTTATGCCATTTCTTGTTCCTCTTGTCCTTTCCAATACTTTGGAGAAACTGAGGCTCTCTTTCTGACAGACTTAAAGCACAAACGAAGTGCTAGCCTAGCCAACATTAAAAATGTTCTTTTCTGTCATGTTAGAAATCACAGTCAGCTTATTAACTGGTCCTCTGCCAAAACTATCTACCCTTCTTCTAGCTTCCACTAATGGCAACTTGTAGAAGCATCCTTTATACACAACATTCTAAATGTGAATCTTAGCCCTGGCTTTGTCTCTGTAGATGCCTTTCTTTCTCATTATGGTGTCAAATGCTCTAAACTTCAGAACACATCTGACTTGACCTGATCTTTATCTTCTCCTCTCCTTACCTCTTCACCTTTCCTATATTTTCATTGCCTTTCCTGTCTTCTGCCTAAGTTGTTTTGTCCTATGGGGTCTTGTCCCACATGGAATTTTGTCTTATCCCTGTGGGCCTTTTGCTCTCCTGCAGTGCTCCCATTCTTTTAATATTTTAGACCACCTCCTGTGTTGCACTAATCACTTGTAATGTCAGTGCATTTATGATAGCTGAGTTCCTGTCATAAGCAACAGATGAAAAATCTTGTATGACATTTCCAGTGCTAAGAATGTTATCAGATATTGCACAACGTTTTCTTCTCCTCCACTATTATTGTATCAGAACAAATCAAAGGAGGGGAGTAGGTATGTAAATTCATTTTCATGTAAATTATTTACCCAGTTATTTTATATTTAAGGTCAATGTTCATAGTACACCTACATTTTTTGGCACCCTGAAGCTTGAACTATTATGAGGGCCCCTTTGCCACCCTTTCTCATACAGTAGATCCAAAATTTTTAATAAATGTGGACTAAAGTTGCTTCTGGAGCCCCTCCACGATTAGGGGCCCTGAAGCTTAAGCTTCATTAGTTTCAAGCAGATCTGCCCCTGTCTTTACTGTATATGTATATCTCTCAGCTTGTTCCTATGTTATGTGAATGACATGCCCATTATTGTCAAGTGTAAGCTTCTGTTGTATGCAGATGACATTGCTTTGTTAGTGTTAGGTAAAGATCCACAAGACATAGCTAATGTACTGTCACTAGAACTAGAGTAGTGCAGCAAATGGTTAGTAGACAACAAATTATCATTACACTTCAGGAAAATGGAAACCATACTCTTTGGCATGAAAAATAAAGTGAAAAGGGTAACTAATTTTAATGTCCAATGTAATGGGGAACCCATCACTTCAGTTTCCTCAGTGAAATATCTGGGAATCCCCTCTGACCCATTCATGTCAGAATTGATAGGGAACAGTGTAGTAAAGAAAGTGAATGCCAAACTTAAGTTCCTCTATAGACAGGTACAGTGTCTACCTACTGAGGCTCTCAGGACTCTATGTCTAACTCTTATACAATGCCATATAAATCACTCTTGCTCTTCATGGTATTCTGCCTCAACAATAAAAGCTGAAGGATAAATTACAAATCATGCAGAACAAAATGGTGAGATTCATCCTGGACCAGGGTCCAAAAATGCATGTAAGCCAGGATAAATTACAACAACTGGACATGTTGAACTTTGAAGAGAGTAAAACAAATGAAGTTAAATCACATTTATAAAATTGCTCACAGTGTCCAGAATACCTTGCTGCCAAGTTTATCAAGGCTGGGAACCAAAGCCAATCACAGTGCTGGGGGGGGGGGGGAGAGAACAACTTTGTAGTACCCACAGTCAGTGGCCAGGCTTCAAACACATTTTATTGTATAGCAATAAAGGAGTAGAATAAACTGCCTGCTCATGTCATAACATGAACCAGTTCATGAAGAGAGCCAAAAGATACCTAATGAATGTAACTACATTATTATTATTATAATAATCAAGGGGAAGCGCTAAACCCGTAGGATTATATAGCACCTGGGGGGGGGATGTGGAAGGCATTCAGGCTTAATTCGGGGAACTGGAGCACAGATCCAATTCCCTAAATCAAGAGCCCCTCACCAACATCAAGGAACCTTCCCTGAGGGGACTGTAACTACAGAAAGGGAGAAGAGTGATGTCTTGTATAGCTAACATTCATGTACCTATTATTGTCCCCCGATCCTGTCTTTAATGTGTATATAACTCAGTTTACCTTATTCCTAGTATATCTCCTTTTATTGTAACGACTTTTCATAGTCGAGTTACTTACCTGTTTTAACTTTTAAGGTTTAAATAAGAAATTACAAGGATCTCAATGGAAATAAGTCACTTTAAGCTTTTGGATTATCCTAGGTAATCTACACATATGCTGCTATGTATGATAATTTATGTAACTGTGTTTATATGTACATATACCTGAAAAAAACATTAACTTACGTAGTTAACTGAAGGCATAATGGGGTTTTTTGTTTGTTGGGTTTATCAGGGCCACTGACAGCTTAAGCCGATGTACAGGGAAGATTTGTTGCCAAAAGATTAACAATGAAAGAAAAAGGAACAAGAGTTCCTCTGTAAATAGAAAGAGAAACTAGAAATTCCCAATTAGATCAGGTGGACCAAGTTACCAAGCCCCAGCAGAGCCAGATTCCCACACCCTCACCTAAGTTCAGTAACCGGCTTCCCACCAAAACCGCAAGGGTACTGGTTAAGGGTAGAGCTAGTGTTGTTATTATTGTGATTATTAAGGGTTACCACAGCACAAAGTGAATTAGAACCTTCCTAGAGCTTCACAGGGATTAGGGAGTTAATAAGTTCATTTAGGCACAGGTACACATAAGTACAATTATCATACATAGTGTAAATTACTAAAGATAACCCTAATATGTCTGATAAAGTGGGGCTTGGTTGCCCCTAAAGATGGAATAGGAGTCCAGAGAGCTGTGGTCAGATGTTGACTTGGGATAATAACTCAACAAAATGCCGCAGTGCCAACGATTACCCATTCCAGTGCCAGACAACACGCTCCCCCACTCATGAAAAGTTGAAATTTACTTAATATATACAATATGCACTCATACTATTGTGCCTACTTTATATGTATAGGACGAACAGTTCCAGTATAAACCCTCCTCTGAAACATTTCCTAGATAGCTGCAACAGAACACGCAAAAATTTTGACATCCAGGAACTGAATTAGATGAAGACAACCATCCCAGAGAGAACGGGAGGGAATTTGTCACTTCTCAGGTGATAACAAAACGCTCACAATCACCAAAGTTGGCACAGAAGTTTACTAAGCTGGGTAATGAAGGAAAATGGAAAAGGATTTCCCTTTGCAAAAGAAAGAGAAATGAAAAAAGGTCCCAATTAGGGCTGGCAGACTTCTTGGCCAACACTGCAGGGCGGGACACTACACCCTCACCTGAGGTCAACAACCGTGCTTCCCACCAAAACCAGTAAATAAATATCCACAGAGCTGAAAAAAAAGGGGCCGATGAAAGAAGCTCCTTCTGTAAGGCGACTAACAGGCAAAATAAGATTAAAACAAGCTTCCCAGAGAGAACGGGGAGATTTGTGACTCAAGGAGCCTAGTGGAAAAAAGTCACTTTGACATTGTTGAGTTTTTCTTGGTAATATATACATATGCTGCTATGTATGATAATTTATGTAGCTATTTATATGTACCTACATCTAAATAAACCTACTTACTGATGCTCAGGCAAAATAAAGACATCCACACTCGACGAAAGCTGGGGCAAAAATAAGTCACTTTCTTTGACTTTTTTGGGGTTATCCTAAATAATTTACAAGTACGTTACTAGGTATAATAATTGTATTTACGTGTTCCTCTACCTAAATACACTTAGAATGTATTGATCTTACTGTTGTTAGGGTTGTTCAGGGCAAGTAAAGCTAACACCGTTTTGAGCCCTACTTTCCGGGAGTCCGGGAAAAATATATTCCCCATATATAGGCAGAAAAAAACAGAAAAAAAAAGTTCCTTTGGAAAAGAAACAGGAACATAGAATTTCCAATTTAGATCAGGTGAGCACTGGGCATAAACACTGGCAAAGTCAGTGTCTTACCGTTTAAGCAAGCACACCTGCACTCCACCAAAGACAGTCACATATCCTGGAAAAAAGTCACTTTGTCTGACTTTATTGGGGGTTACCCTAGGTAATTTACACATGTTATGTATGATGATATATACTTATGTGTGCCTGTACCTAAATGAACTTACTTATTCACGCTGCGATTCAGAGGGGTAATGCCTGCTGTATCTTGGGCACGCGTCCCATTGTAATCTGACAAACACGTAGTAATATGTACTCGAAATATATCCCTCAAACCTCGTGTACTGTATATGCCATCTTTATACCAGCAATGCATCTTTTAAATCTTTTGTGCTACATTATGTAATAAAATATACCTATTGGCAAAAAGAATGAAAAGATGGGGCTGTAGGGGAAGTGGAATATTCAAATGGCTTCAGGAAGTAGTCCAGATATTCTGCCTCGAAGCCTTTTTATCCACTTTTCTGAGACTATGGGTCCCAAAATTTGCACCAGAGGTGGACCCAAACTTACTATTCTTTTTTAAGAGCTAGGACGGCATATGCTGTATAAGCCCTTAGAGCACAGCTATAGGTACCACTGGAAACATTTGTGTATAAATCATGGTCTTCACCACACTATGTATAGTGTATGTGAAAGTCTGTTCTCTTCCTAATGTCTGAAAGAGCTGCAACAACCTGCAAGAATAAAATTATTAAGTGGAGTCATCAAAACAACACTTCAATCATGTCACTCTATGAGGAACAAATTACATAGTGGTGATTCTCTTATTTCTTACCTTAGAAAGAAGCTTAGAAACGACTTGTATAGTTTAAGTAGTAAAAAATCTATCCCTTTACTCTTATCTTAAATTAGCGAATGATATGTTGCTTTTGTTAGGAATGGAGGAAATAAAACACCACTATATGAGTGGTAATTAAGGTGCAGGTTGTTTTGGGTGTGAAAGTATCAAGATGGCGCCCAAGTCAGGTATAAAGCCCCTTGTAAAAATATTTTCGAGATGATGTCATCCCGTGCCGTTAACGCTCTCACCTTTTATGATGCCGCCTGAAATAGTCCGTAGGATGCTTTTACAAGAGAGTGTTAAATATCTATGAGTATTTTGTAGAGGGAGAGGGGTAAACATCCGTGATAATGACTGAGGGTGCAGAAGGGGCGAGGTCTGACCTATTGACATCACGACTATAAAATTATGTTTACTCTTGGTATTTAATTATCTTCTTCATAGGTTTTGTATTTAATTTGCTTGCTCTTTTGTTACAGGGCCTTGATGAGTAGATTGTTGTCACTTGATATCGTGGAGTGATAGACTGTAGTGCTAATTATGCCTTTATTATAGGTGTTGGGCTAAATTAGTATTATAGGTAGGCCTCTTTTATTTACAAAAGCAGTAATGTAAATTTATTTAGAATTTAAATTTTTAACTGCATATGGTCATTACAAATATAAATACTGTCATTAACCAGGTACTAAGTGATATAAATTGGGAAGATAGCCTAAGCAACACGGATCCAAACCTGTGTCTAGAACAAATTAACTCTGTGGCACTCGAGGTAAAGGACATGATGTAAACTAGAAACAGAAAGGCACTCCCTATACAGGCAAAGGCAAAGAATAACAGCGGCTAAAAAAATATATATATACGGTAATATGTAGGGAGACATTGGTCAGAGAAATAACAAGCATTGAACTAAAGCTAAAGAAATTGTACAGGAGTCAAGAAACACGGGAAGAACTAGAAGCCGTAAATGAAATTGAAAGGAACCCAAAATATTTAATTTCTTATGCCAAATCAGAGTCGAGAACAACATCCAGTATTGGTCCCCTATTTAAACGAGATGGGACCTACACAGATGACAGTAAGGAAATGAGTGAGCTACTCAAGTCCCAATATGACTCAGTTTTTAGCACATAGCAACAGAGTGCCATCTTTACCAGTGGCATCACCAACTCAGACAGAGGTTAGGTTATGCATGTTAGGTCAGGTTATGTTATGGTATATGCTTTTAATATTCTGTGTGATTATTTCTTTGATTTTGGTTTTGGGACAGGCACCTAAAGTCAGTACCTGATCAGCCGGGCTGTGGTTCATACATTGGTTTACGTACGGCCAGCAGTAACAGCCTGGTTGATCAGACCCTGATCTACCACGAGGCCTGGTCTCAGACCATGCCGGAAGGGTTTTGACCCCCAAAACCCTCTCCAGGTAAACTCCAGTTTGTGTCGTTTGTGTATCTCATTTGTAGAGCACATGTCTTACAACTGAAAGGGCCCAAGTTTGGCTCTTAGTTAGGGTGAGATGTATGGGCAAGTCTCCTTATACCTTATTTCCCTTTTCACCTAGAAGGAAATAGGTACTTATGAATTAATTGGGTGCTGTGAGTTACAATTTAGGAGAAGAACCCAGTGGAAATATGCTATGCTAGTTGACTTTGGTTGTCTCTGGTTAATAACCCTCTGAGCTGAAATATATAACCCTGAGGAAGTCATCCTCCAGGACCTATGCATTATTCAGGATGCTTCTTTGTGCCACTCATAATTGCCATAAAAGGCAAAAAAAAAAAAAAATAAATAAAATAAAAGCCTGTCATTTTAGCTCACAAACTCTTGTCAGTAGAGTAATTTAAAATAAGATTGAATTTGTCCTAAAATAGGGTAAGTGATGTCACACTGTTGATTGGCCTGTGCTATAATTATAGTGAAACAACTATGTTACTTATAATTCCATTGAATGTTTGTTTCAGCAGTTGTTTGCTATAACATTTGCGTCATCTAAGTGTAAAATCAAAACATATTAACTAAAAAATGAAGATTAGTTCAATTCTTTAGGAAAAAAGATGAAATCTAATAGTCTGCAGCATTTAAAGACTACAGCATCATTTAAAGATAAAACAGAAATAGAGAACAGTGGCCAAAGAAAGGCACTAAAAGTAGGTTACTGAAAGTAAAAAAAAAATTTCAGAATGTGAGTAAAATCAAAATAAGAAAATAAAAAATAAACTTTAAAAGTAAGTGTTCCAGCACCACTGGATAAAATAAATTAACTGGTTATGTCGTAGTATTTATTCAAAGAAAATTTGCAGATATTTTCACTAATTAGTATTTTTATGTAAGAGTTTCGTTAGGTATATACATTGTTAGTGTATAGACATACAGTGAATAGGGATGTTTTAACCATCACTGATGAAACTCTCTGCTTCTTATTTAGGCATATACCTATTTGTTGATCAGATACTAGTACTTTTGGTCATACAAAATATAAATGTACAGTACTGTTAAAATGATAAGACATGAGACCTGCTACTGTATGTTATGCAAAAATTTATTGTGAATCCAATATGGACATTGTTTCTCACACTAGTACCTAATGACTATGACTAGTGCAGCATTTTAAGAATACAAGGTCATCTTTCTGTTTTTGCAAGTTTTTTTTTTTTTTGTTTTTTTTTTTTTTCTTCAACAAGTCGGCCGTCTCCCACCGAGGCAGGGTGACCCAAAAAAAAAGAAAGAAAATCCCCAAAAAGAAAATACTTTCATCATCATTCAACACTTTCCCCACACTCGCACATTATCACTGTTTTTGCAGAGGTGCTCAGAATGCAACAGTTTAGAAGCATACACATATAAAGATACACAACATATCCCTCCAAACTGCCAATATCCCAAACCCCTCCTTTAAAGTGCAGGCATTGTACTTCCCATTTCCAGGACTCAAGTCCGACTATATGAAAATAACCGGTTTCCCTGAATTCCTTCACTAAATATTACCCTGCTCACACTCCAACAGATCGTCAGGTCCCAAGTACCATTCGTTTCCATTCACTCCTATCTAACACGCTCATGCACGCTTGCTGGAAGTCCAAGCCCCTTGCCCACAAAACCCCCTTTACCCCCTCTCTCCAACCCTTTCGAGGACGACCCCTACCCCGCCTTCCTTCCCCTATAGATTTATATGCTTTCCATGTCATTCTACTTTGATCCATTCTTTCTAAATGACCAAACCACCTCAACAACCCCTCTTCTGCCCTCTGACTAATACTTTTATTAACTCCACACCTTTTCCTAATTTCCACACTCCGAATTTTCTGCATAATATTTACATCACACATTGCCCTTAAACAGGACATCTCCACTGCCTCCAACCGTCTCCTCGCTGCTGCATTTACCACCCAAGCTTCACACCCATATAAGAGTATTGGTACTACTATACTTTCATACATTCCCTTCTTTGCCTCCATAGATAACGTTTTTTGACTCCACATATACCTCAACGCACCACTCACCTTTTTTTCCCTCATCAATTCTATGATTAACCTCATCCTTCATAAATCCATCCGCCGACACGTCAACTCCCAAGTATCTGAAAACATTCACTTCTTCCATACTCCTCCTCCCCAATTTGATATCCAATTTTTCTTTATCTAAATCATTTGACACCCTCCATCACCTTACTCTTTTCTATGTTCACTTTCAACTTTCTACCTTTACACACATTCCCAAACTCATCCACTAACCTTTGCAATTTTTCTTTAGAATCTCCCATAAGCATAGTATCATCAGCAAAAAGTAACTGTGTCAATTCCCATTTAGAATTTGATTCCCCAAAATTTAATCCCACCCCTCTCCCGAACACCCTAGCATTTACTTCCTTTACAACCCCATCTATAAATATATTAAACAACCATGGTGACATTACACATCCCTGTCTAAGACCTACGTTTACCGGGAAGTAGTCTCCCTCTCTTCTACACACCCTAACCTGAGCCTCACTATCCTCATAAAAACTCTTTACAGCATTTAACCCTTTGAGGGTCGACAGGCCCTCTCCAAAACTCGTTCTCAGGGTCGGCCAAATTTAAAAAAAAAAAAAAATTATTTTCTCTTATGAAAAGATAGAGAATGTTTTCCCGATCATAAAGACACCAAAAGTTTGAAATTTGATAGAAAACTTACGAAATTATGCTCTCGCAAAGTTAGCGGTCTCGGCGATGTTTACGCATCGGCGATTTTACCCACTTTGAGCCCCATTTTCGGCCAATTTCGCTGTACTAGTCGACAAAAAACATGAATATATCGCTAGAACTCCATTTTTTCTATCGAATGGGTGCAAGAAACCACCCATTTATGAAATTCAACTATCCAGTACAGTGGTCAGAATTTAGCAATTTTGCCAATTTCACACAAATTTCAAAAGATGCCAATTTCCGAATAGGGTCCAGAATAAACAAGAAAGACATTCCTGGCACTAAAATGACATTTCCTCTAGTCATTAGTCACGTCTCAAGGCCCCTCTTATATCTTTTGCTTTCCATTTTGAATTTTTATTCTCACAAAAAATAAAGATTTACTGTTATGCAGACTACTGCATTAGTGTAAAAAATGGTATAAATATTATTGGTGCACTTGTGAAAGAATATTAGACTCACCAGTTGACGTGTATTGCACGCTTGGCACGATTTTGTTTACTTTTGAAGTTTGGTAAAAATCGAACATTTCTGCTACTTTGAGCTCAATTTCAAGGCACCTTTCATTGTAAAACAGCCAAAATCATCTCAATTTCTGTAATATGTCTTCCATTCTATAAAATGAGACCAAGAAAACTAGAATACAACAATAAATACCATACGAAAATACACTGCAAAGTCGCTGATTATTCCAAAAAAATGGTCAAAGTTTTTTTTTTTCTCATTATGCACTGTGTGCTGCAGGATTTTTTTAGACTGTGCACACTGACCACAATAGACCCATTCTTTCATATGAAGGCCTACCAGCTTTCTCCCACTAGATTTGAGGCCGCTAGAATTTATGCGTACTAGACGTCAAAAACCCCTACGCGAAAGCGTCTAGTACGAAAAAACCCTAAAAGGGTTAAATAATTACCACCTATTCCTTACGTACTTGCAACTTTGAACGTTGCCCCCTCTATCCCTTATCATTCCCCTTTTCTAAACCAAAAATGCAATAAAAAA